GGCAAGTTCACCGTGAATAATTTCACCACAGCAGCACGGAGCTAGGCTTGCCCAGAGGAAGACTCTGAAAAGTACATTATGTCTACCCAGAGGCGCAATCCATTGCTTGGTGACAGCTTCACTCATGTTTGATAGGTGAGGATGTGCACAGTGGCAATCAGCTGTAAATCCATATGTGCCACACTACAAAAAAAGAATATAACCTGAGGCATAAGAGTTTCACACTAATAAGTGAGTGTATTCAGAAAGTCTCACCAACTTGGCAGGGATGTCTCACTACATCTCAATGACACGTGAGGCTTGTTTTTGATCATTTGTTCATGCTTTAGGAAGGATTTGCAGTGTTCAGTGCAGATGCAAAGATTATTAAGGGAAAATGGAATTTGCAGAAACTTCATAGCATTTCCTCCTGCAAACTTTGGGGAAAATACACAGCACATCCATCTGATTTGGTCTGCAGTATCACTGTGCATGGAGTGCCAGTCAAATGTTTGGGGAGCAATAACAAAAATTTGTGTTTTCTACTGGGAGTCAATTATAGCGGACCTTCTGAGTTCCTGAAACTTAAAGGACTCTTACCAAACCCCCATGTGACGGGGAAAGTGCCCACTAAGCATCCCAGAAGGTTGGCGGCAAGAGTTGCCCATGTATGAAATTCTCTAGCTGAAAAAAAAAAGCCAAAATGGCTGAATTTTCTTTTATTTATTCTCAAATTTCTACGTTCATACATAGACTTGAGCAAAAACATAAATGTAGCTTTAGTTTTGAAGTTAATATATTTACTGGACTAAATTTTATATCTTCTTGCCGTTCATCCTGCATGCATGTCAGAATTATTTTACCAAATAGAGCTTTTTAAGTCCCAGCTGCACTACTGTGAATTTCTTTTTTTTTTTGGCTATTATTTAAAATTTGAATCTAATTTCTGGTAAAACTTATGCTGGCAATGATAAAGAAATTTATGCCAAAATCTAAGAGATTCTGAATGGCTAAGCAAAAGATTCTTCCAGAACAATTTCAGATCTTGTTTTCTTTGGCACACTCTACATGTTTTAGTTTTTCCACTTCTTTAGCCTTTGTTCCTGACTGAAAGTGCTTTGTTGTTTGGTGTCTTGAGCACAAAAATCAAGACTTGGCATTTGCATAAATAGGCATGTCATTGTTTAGCAATCAACAAATATATGGTCCACATGTAACACAAAAAAAGGTAGCAAGAATGCACCATGTCCCATTTTGTGAGAGTTTGACTATTTACATGTACTGACAGGCAATCAAGGCCTGTGGGTAGAACTATTACTATAAAGTCAAGTTTATTTGTAAAAGCACATTTCAGTAAAAAAGCAGGTCAAAGTGCCACACAAGGACAAGCAAAAAGAAACAGTACTGTACTCTGTAAATGCAAACATAATTTACCTTCTCTGCATTTTTCTTCAGCCGAGAACTATCGCTATAGTTTTTCACACAAACTGGCTCCAAAGTAATTATCGCTCCAGGATGTTTTATTGTGGACATTATTGCTGATGCCACAACTTTTACCTAGTCTACTGTTCAAAGCATCTAAATAATTATCCAAAACTCCTGCAGGGTAGCAAACATTGATAATGAGGTTATAAGCAGCCAAGAACATATGAATTAATATGAACGGAGTTGGGTTGCACAGTTGACTTGGCGCAAGAAGGACTTGGGTTCAAATTCTAGCCTGCGGTCTTTTTGCATGTAGCTTGCATATTCTCCCTGTGCATGAATAAGCCTTTTGGTGTGAATGTGTGTGCATGGCTGTCTGTCCAGTGCGCCTCCATTTTGTCCAGATGGGCGACCTTTACAGGGTGTACCCCGCCTCTCGCCCGGAGTCTGAGGGAAAAGGGCACCAGTCCACCACCAACATTTGCAGGTGCAGATGCTTTTTTTTCTCTTTTTTTTTCTCAAAAATCTGCCCACTGTTAGCAGAAAACATGCAAATATCGTTTTCAAATTCCTACTTTTCTTAATTCCTGCAGCACCTAGTTCTGCTACAGAGTAAATAGTATGCACAGATTCAATTAGTTTTTTTTTTTATTTATGATGCAACCACCAGCATCAGTAAAAGTTTAGTAGAAAATCCACATTTTTTGCTCCTGCTTCTTTTTGCACTTACTTGCAGGGAACTATCTTGCTTGGTCATGAATATAATGAGATGTACATCAAATAAGAGAAAAGCTTTCCTTAAAAATAATGTGTACCACCAGTCTGTCAGATTTGGATATTTTTCTGTACGTTTTCAGATGGTGAGTCCTCGTCGTCTTTAGACTAGTTGTGTTTTGTGCTGTACTCAAGGAAAAGACGACAGTTGGAATCAGTGCTACATGATGCAATTTCTTAAAAACTAAGCAAACCAGGTAACATAGGTGAGAGTGAAATTTGCAGACATTTTATTTTTCTGTTCCTCTCTGTCAAACACAGACACCACAGGTGTCCTTTTTCACTCTGATGCAATCTTCGAAGAACCTTATGGCAACGCGTCGCAACATTGTTTTTTTTCCCCCTATATCTGCTCCATCAGAGTGTAGCAGGCCTCATTAGTGTTTGGGGCCCCTGTAGGGTCCCCCGGCCCCACAATCCACCCGACCAACCTCCAGTAGCCCCTTAGGCGCTGAGCCACAAACAACAAATCACTGAAACAAAAAATCCCTAATGCCTGAGTCTTTCCACTTCAAAAACACAATTATGCTAATGCCAGGAATCATTTGCCATTCCAACTCTGATTTAATGCGGCCTTTTAGTGGAGAAAGCTAATTAGAGGCTTTAATTAACATGTGCGATACAAACTGAAGAGAAGTGTGAAGGAGCCTGTCGATCACGGAGGAGCTCAGCGAGAGCGATAAAACGGAGGGAACGCCAGGAAGGGGTAGTCTGAAAGCAATGCAAATGAGACGAGGGAGCGCCACAGGGAGGCGTGGATCTCTGCTGCAACAACGGATTCTGTAAATATCACTGTGACCCGTAGACGGAGTGGAGTCATCTCATTAACACAGATGGGAAGGTGTCACCAGAGCTTGGCCATGAGGGTCAGCGTCGACACGACGCAACCTGAGCTTACCGAGCATAGCATCATTAAAAACCCTGACAAAACACGAGATTTAAGCGTGTGCTCCAAGAGGCTGATATTTCACTCCGCTCACATCATCCTCTCCTGTACAACTATCTCCGGGAGAAAATACTTTCACTTTGACTTTGAGCTTGTTGCTGTCGTTGCTTTCTGCATCAGTAAGCGATCGCTGATTTTGGCATTCTTACGCATAGCTAGAGGGTTGGTGTTCTTGTCATTGTATCTTAATGTCCTCCACTGCTTACAAACAGGTTTTCTTCCAGTCTTGTCCTGCATTTTGCTCCATCCATCAGCTCTGAAGAAAGCAACTCTGCAGCATGATCCTGCCAATATCATGTTTGACAATAGGGATCCAGTAGGTGCATCACTTTGCATTTAGGCTCGATGTTTGCAGTGTCTTCTGCGTGACATATTTCAAACTGCAGGACTTCTTCTCTTGTATTTGTGGAGTGCACGTCTGATGGTTATATTTCTGAAATATGTTCCCACATGAGCAATGAATCTCTGCAGCTCCTCCAGAGTCATCATGGCTTGCTTGACTTTCCCTGATTGTCGCTTTTCTTGACCAGACTACATATTCAGATGGACTACCATGTCTTGGTAGGTTAGAAGTGCGTCATACGCTTTCGATTTTCAGCTGATGGATTGAATGGCGCCATTTGTTCAATGGTATTCTCCAAAAATATTTCTCAGTCCTTCTCAAAACTGCTGTATTTACACAAACATGATTTTGAATTTAAATAAAATGAATGTTTGTTTTTGAATCAACTGTTATCAGACATCACCTGGTGCTGGATTTTGTTTAGAATATCATGTTATAAAGCAAATTTTACCTCCGCAATTATCTATTAAACATTGACAAAATGTGGAAAAGTTCAATGAGTATCAATACAATACATCAAACTCCCCAAGTATGCATACTACCCTGATTTTTTGGGTATTTCTCTTATTCCCTTTCTACTTTACACTCTTTGTATCGGGTCATGGTCCCTTAAACTGCAAGTTCCAAAGAAGGCTGAGTATATCTCTGGCCTTTTTTTCTGAAAACCATTTTCTCCTGGAAATAAACTGGGATGCAGAAAAAAGGAAACTCACAGGACGGAAGCTGTAAATAGAAAAGCCATACTAATAAATAAAATCTAAGCTTTTATTCTTTCTTCACTTATTGAAAAAGCTTTGCTCAGGCACTGTGCTTTTAATAATGCACATAAAGATATTTAAGGGTTTTATTCCTTTCTCATTTTTCATTTTTCCTGGCTAAAGTACTTTAAAGCAGCTGAGTGTTTTTTATTTTGTGGGGGAGTTTCATTAAAACGCATTAGGCAAGCAGCTGTGTAGGTTGCAATTTCAATACTTCATATACTGAAGAAAACTTCGGCTGACTGTTTTCTTATTGTTGCTAGGAAAGGATTTATTTTCTCTAATAAGTTTTTTGCAGATTTAAACCAAGTATTTTTTTATATAAAAGCTGCAGTTTTGCTTAATGACTTTATATGAAAAGGTTTGCTTATTGTGCGTATTGGGAAATTACATATTTTATAATTTCAACATGATGGAGAAAATAGTCACTCTTTGTGTAATGTTGAAGTCTCTTAGGCTGAAGTCAGCTGCACTCCATGGACTCGAAAAAGTAGAAGAAATTGAATAAATTAAACTAGATTCCTGGTAACTCAGTTCATTTGTGTTGATACCTAAATTAAATGAACTGAGAGCTTTTGAGAAGTGAGAAACTTGGGATATATATATTGATATTTTTGCACATAAACTCTACAGGCAGCGTTAAAACCATGTAGTACTTCACAGGATCACATTACTGGTCATTTTGACACGTTATAGCTGGATATTTTTGGCTATACTTTATCTCTTGGATTATTGTTATCAAGTCTCAAAGGAAACGTAGAACAATGAGACTCACCTGTGTGTCCTGGACAGCCAGTCTCTTCAGGTTCAGTCACAGGAAGTTCTCTCGGTACATCTTGTTCTTGTGATCTGCAAGAACAACATTTTAAAAAAGATTCAATACATCCAACAGCTTTCCTCCTTTTTCTTGATCCATTTCAGATTTCTTTACAGTTCTGAAGCATGCATCAGTTCTTACTATTTTTTTTTTTGATTCAAGGCATTGTTTGTTTTTTAAATAAAGAGCCTTATGGACCAATCAGTTTTGAGGTCAAGCAGCCTTTTAATTTACTTTTGACCTGCTAATATATTTTCAGCAGTCTCCAAGTCCTACAAGTAAAATTATTTTAGCCAAACTTCCTCCGAGTTATTTATATAACAAACACAATGCAACAACACAATGAGTATGGAACCGAAACTGATGTCTATGAGCAGTTGAAAATTTTCCAACTTTTAATACAACTTCTTACACTTGTGCCTCCAGGACTGCGTTTTTACACATCTAATAGAAAAATCAGTCAACTTCTGCGCTCAGTAGCTACCACTACACCGAAGGGTGCTGCTAACACGACCTGTAAACCTCTAAATCTACCAAAATATCAAAAGCAAAGAGGTGTATTGTAGTGTATTCCTAATGAGTCTAAAACAATGATCATAACAGGATCACAGAGTTATACGAGAGTAGGTTTCAAAGTAAACGGGATGAATTTGGACTGTCAAATAAAATAATGTAACAAATTGTTCTCAAAAACAGAGATTTAGTCCTACACATGTAAAATCAATACTTTAGTTTTAAAATTACCAATGGACCTATGGCTAGCAGTTAGATTAATTTATACTTTGAAAACAAAACTTGCATTAAAAATAAGAGTCTTCATCTGCTGGACTGCATCAAATCAAATTTGATTCGTATAGCACCTTTCGGCAGCATTTCAAAGTGCTTTACATCATAAAAACAAAATTACAAAGTTATAGAACACACACTCAACATTACATTTTACACATCAGATTGATTAATGTTTCATGATTAGGTTTCAAAAGCAACTCTAAACAGCTGAGTTTTTAGTCTAGATTTAAAGGCACTCAGTGTTTCTGCTGTTTTGCAGTTTTCTGGAAGTTTGTTCCAGATTTGTGGTGCATAGAAGCTGAATGCCATGTTTAGTTCTGGTTTGCATATAACTCCCATGTGACCAACAAAAATGACTTTAGACTTTCAAAATAAAAGTAATACCCTTTAAATTAAGAGATTCAGTTCATGTAGGATTATTACTGTTCAGTTTGTCAATGTTTGTCATCAATGAGGGATTGATCTTGAATTTCAGACTTGCAGATACTCTTTAAAGTCAGGAAACTGATTTTGATATGCCGAGTTATCAATGGGCCAGTACCACCAGTGATAATCACTGGTTTACTGGTGCAGTGATAAACCAGTGATATCACGGACTGAGCATTTTGCATTTTAAATGGGTGTAAACAGCAATAAGTATTTTGACTCTGGAAATAAATTTCAGATGTGTTGGTTGCATAAAGTCAGGATGAATTTAGCTCAGCTACACTAGTTACATTAGCACATTTAATCTAGTCTTAAACTGAAGATTTAAAATCACAATTTGCTTACTATGGAACATCAAGTGCCAGAGCAGTAATCTCTACTTTCTGAAACTTTTCTTTAAACTATCGAATCACTATTTCTTTGTATGTTGATCCAATTTCCTTTCCAGTGGCTGAATTGACTCAACTGCAGTCAGGAAAGGTAATTTGTTAGGGCAAGTGGAATATAATTGACACTCTGGAAATAATTAAAACTTGCCAGTCTTTATCCATCAAAAGGTAACATTTACCTTGCTGCTTTTCTTTCATATGCGGTTAATGAAATATCTAAGTTTTCAGAATATCATAAAGCAAATTAGAAAACCTACAGCCCTCTTAAGTTCATGGAAAGCATTTACAGATTTAATCATTCAGAAAACTGCATTATTTAATGCTAAAAAGGAGTACTCAAATTCCTGAATATAAGTATTTGAGAAACGAGACCTTCACGGGAGAGAGTGAGCAATAAATACAGCAAATTCTCAGTAAACAGTACTTTACACTTCTCATAAAGAAATCAATATAATTCAGAGCGATGGAGTTGGGGGAAAAAAACAAAACAAAACAAATGGAGGTGTTGCTGAGGCTGGCATCAGAGGGCCCTTTATAGTAAACTTGATTAAAAGAAAATTGCTTTCAAGTGCTCTCAGCAGGCCGGGAGGTTGAGTGGGTGTGCTCTTGTGGGTTTCAGGGTGAGGAAACAAGATGAAGAAATGCTTTGAAATTGCCAGAGGAGAAAAAAGAAAACTAAACGTGAAAGTGCTGGTGACACTGTGGTGCAATATCAGTCATTTTATCAGATTAGGTATATTTTTATATAATGTCCAGTGCACTCAAAGCAAGCTTCAACTTCTTTGAGTATAAATATATTGAAATTCATCTTTTATATCTACATGGCAGCTTTTTGTGCCAACTATTAGATACAAATCTAATTTCTCTTCTTTTCCTTTGGCCAATACACAAATGGATAATGAAAGGATGTAATTTATGTGTCGATTTTACCTATTTAAATATTCACCTGACAAACGTCAAAGGAATCGGTGTCTTTATTCCTAATGCTGTCAAATGTGAGTAATTTATTCTGTTTTTAATTCAAACTGACATCAGAAAATCAAATACTTTCTGATTTCCATGAAAGCATCAGCTAATTGGCTTTTTAAAAATGGAATAATTCATCCTTTTGGTTTCAAAGTAGTGCAATGTTGGATAGAATCCATCATGGCAAGAGGGAAAACTTTTTGCTCTAGTACTCAAATTTAATTTGCTTTTGATTTGATTTAAATATATTTTCAGGCCCCAATGCTCATTAAAAACCCATCGTCACTGCCTCTGAAATGGCCCACTATGAATTTTGCATCACCTGACCGGGTTTTAAGATTTTCTTAAAGTTAACATTTTTATTTTTAGAAATCTCCTTTACATTGATGCAGCTCCATTTGCTCAACCACCAGTTTTTAATGGTCTGCCAAAAAGACAAAGTTTTTTATTTAGTCGAACTGATTTTCAAACTACATGACTGAGTTAAACCTGGCTGATGTCTTAAGGTGTTGCTTTATCATTTCCACAAAATGTACTTCCTTCATGATGGCATCAATTTTGCCAAACATATCAGTCCTTCCTGCTACACACACGACATGATGCTTGCATCTGGTTACTTTACGGTTAGGATAGCGCTCTCATGTTTGCCAGGCTCTCTCATTCCCTCCAAATGTAACAATGTACGATAAAGAGCCAGACTTTTAATTTCACTTTTATTAAACTACAAGATTATGGTCTTTAAATCCACAGCATGTAACTTTTACAGCATTTCTTAAAACTGCCAACATGTCGTGACAGTATGAGAGATAATCTGTGAAAACATCAAGCTCCTCCACCTCCTCCTTTGCCAGTCAAGAACAACCAATCAGGGGGAGCGTTTCATCACGTCAATCCTGATCAACGCGCTAATGGCGGAGAAACAACTTACTGTTCTAAGTGTTAAACTATCTTATCAGAACATTTTAAAAAATGAGATTCTGAATTTGCAGTAAAAATAGTCAAGTTTCTGTGAGAAATAGTTAAATCTAATTATTTCAGGTGATTCTTACTGATCTAATTAATTCAATGTCTGACACAAAAATGTTTTTTTTTTTTATAGAGTGCATGTAAATATCCGGTCTCAGTAATTCAAAGGAGAAGTTACATAAGAGAGCTTTGGTGTAACTAAGTTGCATTTCAGTGAAATCCTGAGACACTTCAGTAAGAAATCATGTCAAGCTCAAACATTTTCACAACAAGCAGTATTAAAAATATCTAGATCTCCAGAAAGACTTGAAATAAAAGTAGTAGCTGTGTTTATCTTCTTAGATGACTAATAAGTAATGTGCTCGTCATTAGTTATTTACAATGTAGGAACGTTTTCAGCAATACTTCTTAGAAACGTTTAAGTGGTCAAAGACTTTAAAATAAAAGGAAGTTGTTCTTTGACATCATTAATTAAATACCCGATTAAGCTGATGAAAATGCTGTAAAAACCCTTAAGTATGCATCTTTGTACGTTTGAATTTAGATGAAACTGCCAGTCCAAATCAGAGATGCACCAGTAAATCAATCGGCTTTCTTTTCAAAACAGGTGGAAATCATACATTGATAGTTCAGTTTGTATGTAACCAGATATTTCCAAAAAGGAATGCAAAAGCAAAGCAGCGAATCTGGGAGTGGCTTTCATTTTCATTGGCACTGATTGGCTTTATCCTCAAGACTCAAAATAAGAAAGACTGTAGTAATGCACAGAAAATTTCTAAACATACCAATGCAAATTAGGATACATATGTTATTTGAACTATTAAAATACAGTTCTTAGCATTTTTAGAGGAGATCTCAAGTGTTTGTGGATTTTAGCTATTCACAGGCAGCTGTGATCCCCAACCGTCACAAATACCAGGGTCCACTGAAGCAGGGAGTGATATAAAACTCTTATGACTTGCATTTAATATTAAACCATTCTGCTGTTCAGATTAGTATGCCTTTAGGTTTGGTGTTTCAACATAGTCTTATCTGCATAGCATCTATGTCACCCTTCTGGGAGAAAGTAGTTGCTACAGTTTATATGCAAGTCAAAGCAAGTCCTGAGATGTTGCCTCAATGAAAATGAAACAAAAAGACAGAAAAGTTCAGTAACAGTATGATATCACTTCTGTTCACTGCCAATAATGGAGAAAAATCTTGAACTCATCGAAGCCTTCGCTTCAACCAGCTTTCTTTCAACCCCAGCAGGAGGACCAATCTATCAGAATATGGATATAAAATCCTGATTGAATTGGGTGATTTCTGATTAAATTAAGACAAGGTTAGGTTTTCCATCTACTTCACCAGAGCCGGGGTGATGTTAAACTCGGCTCCTTTGCTTTACAGTTTTTCCCTTTACAACTGTGCCAATCAGTGACCAACAGTTGCATCAATTGTTTTTCTCGTCTGGCTTGACTTGAGCAGTTACTGAATGCAGCAGTTTTCTTATTTTA